TAACAGAGTGAGTTCAGAAGTTAGCCATCATTTCTTTGGAATACCAGATCAAGTATGAATTCATCACTTTTGTTATGAATATTAATTTCACGTATATTCCATTTTAGTTTCAGTGGGACTTTAGCTGGGAATGTTTCCCATGTCCGAATTACCAGGAGACCAGAAGTACTGGTGTTCAGAAGTACAGCTCGACTGGTCGGATCGACCAGTCCAGCATGAATTCAATTTAAGTTGCAATATCCCTTTTTATTTTCTATTTTAAATCCATCCATAACGTTTCTACAGTTTGCAGCTTGCTAACAGGGGGATCTTGAGTCTCCACGTTATTTTGGGCTTCGTCACTCCGTCGTCCTCGAAGCCCGTCACCTTCCAGTGAAATGAGGCCAAAGATAATGGCCGATGCGTGTCCCTGTTTGCTTATCGAGGATCTGCATGGTCTACTCTCATTCACAAATCGCCATATCCATCATTATTCTTGCCAATTTGCTGTTCCAATATGGACGCAGTAGGTAAGAGAGTGCATAATTTATGAGTGCTTAGGTTCTGCGAAAGAAAGGCCCGTTGCCAGGTCATGTGGACAAGCACACAAGACGCACGAGGCTTAGATTAAGGTAAGACAATAAAAAAGGGTTACATTTTCTATTATCCCTTCAGGGAAACAGTTAATTTTCGGGAAATAATAATAAAATAATAAAATACTTTAGGGGATGTAAGGCGCTCACTTGAACAGTGACCTTGCATGTGGAGAACGTAGTCAGAAAATAGACGATTAAACTAAAGAATTACATTCGCGAGGTGTAGAAGAATCACTTAATCCTCACTTAATGTCACTGATGACCTGTGGCAGCCAAGAGACACACTTTAATCACTTTTCTGGGAGATGAAAAAATCCGAAATTATCCTGGCATGAGATGACTTGTTCTTAATGGGGGTTAAATGTCGAAGAAGGTATTTTCATGCTGGTAAATTATAATATTTATCGTCGGTATGGGATTCAAAAGTAGCGGCAGATAGCCTTTTCGCTTTTATTTATAGTGAGACTCTGCATTCGTCAGGATTTCCTCAGGAATTTTCTGTGAATCACTTACGCTGCATATTTGCAAATGAAAGGAGGAAATGGGGATATTTTTCTATGCTGCTGTATCCAAGTTCGGATTGAAAATTTCAATCGGATAATTTCCCTGATTCTGTAGGGTTTTGTATTCCCCTTGAGTCAACGATGAATCGAAAATTACGCTGAATTTCTCCTGCTTTAGCACCATCGCATAGAGGGACTCGACCAGTGAAGCCAAAAATGCATCAATTTGATAGACGTGCCCGGAACGAGGTTCGATTTCAATGGTTCAAACTTTCTTGAGAGGCTGGGACGACGGTGGGAGGGGAAAAGCGAATATCAAAGGAACAGAAGGGACAGAACATAAATATATATTCTGTACCAGCACAATTTCAGATAAATATTTCCTTGCGCCGAAAATTAATATCACCCAGTGCAAAAAAAAGGAAACTTGCCAAAACCATGTGCCAAATACCCTTGAAAAGCGGAAAGGGATTACTCTCTTAGCGATCTCCTTCCTCCGTCATTAGTTTCTGCTTGGAAATTTCTCAGCTAAGAAATGGTCGGCCGTCGCAGGAGGTGGAGTCCTGGACCTAGTATACGGCAATCCTCAAAAATCGAATCCGTCCGTCAGGACTGTTTTGTGCATCATGAACTCGAACAATCCTTTGCATTCCCACGTGTGTTGCGTTCCTTGACATTTCGTGGTTCGTACCATCATTGTTTCCTTTGCACAAGTCGAACTAAATCTGGATAACTTTTCGCGCATACTGACAGGTCTAGCACGCTGTTCTTCGACATATCTTTGATGGAAGTATGCTTTCATCATGAACGGTCGGCGAATTCTTGGCAGTTAGAGTCCGGCTAAGACTGCTCTTTGTTGATGAGCCGTGACGAAAGCAGAATACGTAATTGGGTAGAAGGCCGTTGGTGCCCTTCGAAAGAGACAGAATGATTCGTTTCCATGACATCACTGAAAATGACATTACCGGGAGACACGATTTTCCCGTTTTCGTTGCGAAATAGTTCAACGATATTCGGCGGGGCCGGCCTTCCATTAATCACGAAGATAATTTACTTGTGTTTTTATTGGTCCTCATCAATCAGTCAGAACTCCGATGATCTTGGATGGCATCCATCGCCGAATTTGCATAAAACTGTGCGATTAAACTCTCCCGAGAAGTATATCATTCAATCGAAATTAAAGAAAATTGGAGTCGACACCTAGGAGTTTTTGGAGGTAGTACTCGCAAGTTGGATCCGCCTGGAGGCTCGGTTTCCATTCGGCCAGTCGACAGTCGACGCCTCCGGAGTTTGGCGACTGGGAGGACGAGTAGCAGCTGGGATTCCTGTTCCAAGAGAAAATGCGGATACATTCGAGGCAGTCCTGGACCTGAGTTATTCGAGAGGAGTGACTGAGAACCACTTACATGTCGCATTGAACGGCGCATTGGATGGTCGACGCTAGTTGAAGGCCTGCGAGAGGGCTGACCACTTTCATGCCGTTCTTGTTCAGCTGCTAATTTAAGGTCGAAATTTGAGACTGCACGAGAAATGACGGAAAAGCGAGGGGTAAGAGGAACTTCATCATGCCACTGCGACGCAGGAGGTGCGGAATATGAGTCGTTTTCCTTGATGCACAAGTAAGGAACTGATTATATGAGTTTCTCTCCAAAAGGTCTAATATGCTATCTCTATAATTGCCCAGGACGACGTTGAGTCAACAAAAATGAGTAACTCTTGGGGAGGAGTCACTTTACCTATTGATGGGGATCACGGGGCCAGGCCCATTATTTTCCCAACAGTGTCTATTTTTCTTCCCCCCGTCATCATTTTCTTCACCGAAGGTCTACACGGTGACTGCATGCAACACTCCTCAGCTAAATATCGTCCGTTACAGCCCTCTTAGCATGAGGGGAACAAGGCAAGAGAAGAGTCGGCAAGTCTTCTTCCTAGGCATGCCTCATGCAACAAGGCGATGAAAGAGTCGACTCCACCTGGGTTTCCATCACGTCGGATCAACTTGTCGAGCTTCAAGCCAATTTAAGTTGCCATATCCCTTTTTCATTTCCATTTTCAACCCGTCGAGAAATTCTCTGCAGTATGCAGCTTGGAAACGGGGTTTCACTGGGTTAGACGTTATTTTGGGCTTGTCACGCCGTCGTCCTTGAAGCCCAGGTTAACGTCCAGTGAAATTATTCCGAATGTAATGGGCGATTCGTGTCCATGTTCAATTCATTGATGGCCTAAATTGTCTAGTTTTATTGCACAATTCGCCATATCCATCTTTTTTTTGCCTATTTGCTGCTCCAATGTATACGCATTACTTATCTTAATGAAATGAATCTTAATAATAAAATCTTAATAAAATGAGAATTTAAGAGAAAGTAAATCGCACACTTGACTAGTGACGTTGTTTGTACTGGACACAATCAGAAAATTAAAAAAAGTTAAACAGGAGAATTAACATTAATGAGGTATAGAAGAATAACTTAGTCACTGCGTAATGTCGCTTCTGACTTGGCGCTCTCAAGAGACCTTTGATTCTTTTCTGGGAACAAAATCCAGAAATATCTGGCATGAAGTGACTTGTTCCCAATGGGAGGTTAAGGTCGAATTAGACTGTTAGCTTTTTCGCCTTTGTTAATCGTGAAATACTGCATTCGGTTTGTATGCCCTCTGGAATTCTCCGTGATGCACTAACGCTGCATATTTCCAAAGGAGAGGCGGAAACGAGGACATTTTTCTGTTCATATCTGGATTGGAAATTACGATCGGAAAATTTCCACGACGCCACTAGGGTTTTGTATTTCCTTTGAGTCTACCAAATACCAAATATTATGCCTCCATTTGATACACAAGCGCGAAGCGTGGATATAGGGCTAGTAGTTGAAACTTTCTCGAGAGGCTGGGGAGTCGGTGAGAGGGGAGAAGCGAATGTCGTAGGAACAGAGGCACAAGCGGCGCCACGAACAGTTTCATCGCACCAAAGTGCGCGGATTGAACGGCCATAATCAATTTAACGATGGGGAGGGCGTCGGCCACCGCAGCATGTGGCGCTTCTGCTCCACGTTTCATTATGCTTTCCCTTAGTAGCACTCAGTGCACAACGCAATTTTTGCGTATAGGATCATTCATGGATTCCCTCGGCCTCGAGCCTCATGTGAACATCATCGGAGCAGGTTGGTATCGAAATTACATTCTGACTGCTCATGAATAAATATGGGCCTGAGATAGAAAATATATGGCCCAGGGAAAACGTTCGTTGGCTACTGAGAGCCAACGCCCGGCCCACCTAGTCAGGCCACATCGCTGTTATCCCAAACATTTAACGAGTGATGTTGGCAGACCCATCTCCCTTACATGGACTGATGGATTATGGAAGAAATAGGAATTTCCATGGAAACTCGTTATCTTTTGAGAAAATTGCCTAAATGAATATGGGGCGTTCCCCACAACCTTTGGAATTTGATCATCGAAGCCGATGAAATTCTCTGACTAATGGTATTCCATCTTCATGGCTCATCTGCGTCGGGGTATTGAAAACGTTGCTTCGTATGAAGAAGCGACTCGATGATTACCTTGAGCTGTAGCACAACGAGGAACAGAATATAGAATTGGTTTCTTGGGTACGTCTTTTCTCCAAGCATTTACAAATTCCAACCCCACTCTGTTTTTTGAGTTGTGATCACGCTGCTTTATTTATATCTGAGTCAACAAATACAGAGGATGTCCAAAACCCGTTCACTGTACACCAAGAAAATCAAAATCATGGCATACTGAAACCGATTCATGGACGTGGAGAGAAACCTACTCCGCTAACTCGTCTTGGTCCGCCTTATTACTCATTCCCGATTAATCTACCATGTAGAACTCGTTGGACAAATCCGAACATGTGTGAACACTGGAAAAAAGGCGTGAATAATTTCGTTTCACCAAGGCCTTCCTCTTTACATGCGCTCCATACATATTCTTGTGATGTGCGGAAATATATTATGTGCCAACACAATACCACATAAACAATATATAATGCCAAACACAGACATAACGTAACATAAAAAAACAACATGGAACATCATCAAAACACTGCACCAAATTGAGACCCTTGAAATACCGAGAAGTGATCAATCTCTTCCTCGTCCATAGTTTCCGGATTGTGTCTGGGCGTTGTCAAATCCGTTCTTTCGGGAATGACTTACGCTGGTACCTGAATTTCACAGAAATATCCGGAGCTCCAGGTAGTTATAGCGCAGACGTTATCCGCCCAGCGACCGTTGCAGCAGGTGGAGTCGGGGGCCTGGTAGATTACGATCATCAGACATCCTCCACCTTGATTGGGTTCGGTCGGGTGAAACAGCCCTTGACCTATCCCCGTGTAATTCAGGAGTGTGCCTGCAGAAATTCATGCCATTTAGAACTCAGGGGATCTGGGGGATGCTGTTGTCGGTTGCCGTGGATTTTAACAGTTACTGTGCATAAATTGTATTAACTTCGGACTGGTTTATCCAGAGAGAATTCAATCAGTAATCATCTCTATTAAGGAGAACGGTCATCCTCCCGGACCTAAATGATTGACTCTTTTCGGTCATATCTGTTTGAAATCCATTATTGATTCAGTTGGAATTCACCCAGGAATATTTCACACTCCCCAATTACCAGGTTATGCGGATTACTTATGTACGAATTAGTGAAAGATGATTTTATTCTAATTCCTTGTCTTTCCCTAGAATGAATTGTCAGTCAATCCCCATGTCAGGGTGAGCATCGCTAAGTCGATCATCTTCACTGGTACTTTGCAAATATTTGAGGGCAGGAGTTCAGATCTGATCATCGAATGACGAAGAATTCTGGAGGAAATCATGTGGTTAATTGTGGTTGTCGAAACTGCAGCTCTGCAGGACGCTTGGAATATTCAGGACATTTTAATCCCAATCGAGGACAGGCGAATATGCTCATTTTCCTTATTTTTTAGCGAGAAACAGCGCAGCAATAATACTTATTCAGGGAGAAAATATATATTAAAGGAGATTACCATCCATGGGAATTTAACGTGAGGGGTCATAATCCGGTTGCAACCCTTGTGTACGCCTGGTAGGAAGGCGTATGTGAACGAATTTTTCTACTCGCTGCTGTTGAAAAGGGAACTATTGCGGCAAGAAGGAAGAAGTCCCTTTTAACTGCAGAGAAATTCAATATTAGTCTAATACTTAATTAAGATGAAACTCACCGTCGAGAAGTCTCCAGTGAAAGGGGTCGATCGTGCTCTGCCCACCGATCCAGAAGTATCCGGTTCCAGCTCCAATGTTGGAATAGATCCCGAGACTCAAGATCATCTGGGTCATGTAGGCGTGGATCTGCTGGTTGTTGTCCACGGCCAGTCGACCCCCATCTGTCTCGCAGTCTGCCTCGGCCTGGTACCAGGTCATCGTGGTGGTGACGACTGTTTTCACGTACGACGACGTGCCTGGTGCCAGTGCGTAGCCACCTGAGAAATTCAAGGTGCACATTCATATGGTGCTGTGCATCCAAGGCACTTGACAACATTTCAGAACTTTCACAGGTAGAATAACAAATCATCTTTCTGCAATTTTCCAGATAATACGAGAGAGAAATTGTCATCAGTAGCCGCAACCCGTCTTCACATAACTCGACGTGCCTTGCACCATGCGAAGCCTAATTGGAAGCATTCCTGGCTTCATGCCGATTCGTAGGTGGCCATCACTCGATCGTTAGGACACGAAATGGCATAACTAAAAGATGAGAACATTTTGTTCATGAAAAAAAAATTTACTCAAGGATACCCTCCCATAATGCCATAGACAATTTTCCATTTGCTTATTACAGTTACTGCATAGCTCTCCGAACATATAACGCAAAATACTCAGTAATTGCCGGCAGCACATGAAAAGTCCAACAGCTAAGCTTCCATAGCGCGCATATCAGTGTAGTGACCTGTGCTGGCAACATGAAAGCATAACGACACTCGAAAGGCGTTCATGTTACGAATGCCCATCATTCGGAATTTTCTTGCGCCGTGGGCCATCATCGGTGATGTCCCCTATACCTGGAAGGTATAGGGGACAGCACCGTTCCTGACGTCATTGATTGTCGGACCCGTCCGTCAGGACTGTTTTGTGCATCATGAAATCGAACGATCCTTTAGATTCCCACGTATGTCGCGTTCCTTGACATTTCGTGGTTCGTACCATCATTGTTTCCTTTGCACATGTCGAACTAAATCTTGATGACTTTTCGCGCATACCGGCAGGTCTAGAACGCTGTTCTTCGACATATCTTTGATGCATATATACTTTCATCACGAACTATGGACCAATTATTAACAGTTAGAATCCGGCTAAGACTGCTCTTAATTGATGACCCGTGACGAAAAGAGAATACGTAATTGGTGCCCTTAGAAAGAGCCTGAACGATTTGTTTCCATGACACCACTGAAAATGACATCATCGGGAGACACGATTTTCCCGTTTTCGTTGCGAAATAGTTCAAAGACATTCGGCGGGGCAGGTCTTCCATTAATCACGAAGATAATTTACTTGTGTTTTTATTGGTCCTCATCAATGAGTCAGAACTCCGTTGATCTTGGATGGCATCCATCGACAAAATACATGAAACTGTGCGATTAAACTCTCCCGAGATCATTTAATCGAAAATAAAGAAAATTGGAGACGCCACCTGGGAGTTTTTGGAGGTAGTACTCGCAAGTTGGATCCGCCTGGAGGCTCGGTTTCCATCCGGCCAGTCGACAGTCGACGCCTCCGGAGTTCGGCGACTGGGAGAACGAATAGCAGCTGGGATTCCTGTTCCAAGAGAAAATGCGGATTCGTGCGAGGCAGTCCAGGACCTGAGTCACTCGAGAGGAGTGACTGAGAACCACTTACATGTTGCATTGTATGGCGCATTGGATGGTCGACGCCAGTTGAAAGCCTGCGAGAGGGCTGCCCACCTTCATGCCATTCTTGTACAGCTGATAATTGAAGGTCGAGATTTGAGCCTGCACGAGAAATGACAGAAAAGCGAGGGGCAAGAGGAACTTCATCATGCTACTGCGACGCAGGAGGTGCGGAATATGACTCATTTTCCTTGGTGCACAAGTAAGGAACTGATTGTGTTTCTCTCCAGTAGGCCTAATATATTATCTCTATAATTGCCCAGGACGACGTTGAGTCAACAAAAATAATTGGCTCTTGGGGAGGAGTCTCTTTGGCTTTTGATGGCAATCACGGGTCCTCGATATCTCGACAGTGTAGTGACGTCGTTTCGGTGTTTCCTCGTAATATCGGGAAGACCCTCGAGGCCGCTGTCCTGATGCTGCCAGAATACGGTTAGGAAATTATTTCTACTTGATGTTTACGATGTCGCACAACACGAAGAACAAAAGAAAAGTTATTTCCGACGAAAAGAGCGTTGTGCTCTGATTGCCCCTAGGCTTATGCATAATGAAACGTGGAGCAGAAACGAAGCATGCTGCAGTGGTCAACGCTGTCCCAATCGTCGTACTGATTCTGGTTGTTTATTCCGCGCATAGCGATGAACCTGGTCGTGGCCCCACTTGTGACTACTTTTCCTTCGACATTCCCTTCTCCCCTCTCACCGTCGTCCCAGCCTCTCACGAGAGTTGGAACCACAGCCATAGATGCACGCTTCGGGCTCGTCTATGAAAAGGATGCATTTTTGGCTTCACTGGTCGAGTCCCACGAGACCTGCAGCATGTGATGGTGCTAAAAGAGGAAAAATTTCCAATCCGAACATGGATTCAACAGCATTGAAAAATTTCCCTGTTTCTTCCTTTCCTTTGGAAATTTGCAGCGTTAGTGATTCTCGGGGAATTCCAGAGGACATGCAAACGAATGTAGAGTCTCACTATTAATAAAAGCGAAAAGGCTGTTTGCCACCACTTGCCAATCCCATACCGACGATGAATATTATAATGTACCAGTGTGAAAATACTTCATGCGACCGTAACCTCCCATCAGGAGCCAATCATCTCATTCCAAGAAATTTCCAGATTTTATTCCCAGAAAAGTGACTAAAGAGTGTGTCTTGGGTACACCAAGTCATCAGCGACCTTATCTTCCGCTTCATCTCTTCAATTCCGAATAACAAAGAAGCCAAGAATTGCCTCATTGGAGAAGCTTGGTGAAAAAAAAACCGTATGAGCTTTTCATAAGGAAGCCTCAAGGCCTCATGAGAAACCTCACAATGATCAAGAGGAAACCTGCAGATCTAATGAGGAAGTCCTGTAGTCTCATGGTTTTTTTTAAGTTTTTTTCTTGCAGGTCATGAAAATCTCGATCGCTCCAATCACAGCAAACCACAACCAAAACTGAAGACATTCTGACTGCTCATAAATAAATATAGGAAATATATGGCCCAGGGAAAATGCTGGTTGTCTCCTGAGAGCCAACGCCCCGCCCACATAATCAGGCCACATCGATGTTACCCAAAGCATTTAATGTGTGATATTGGCAGACTAATCTCCCTTAGATGGTCTGACGGATAATGGAAGAAGAAATAGGAAGTTCCAATGAAATTCGTTTCCTTCTGAGATAATGATCGAAATTGATGTGGGGCGTTCTCCACCGCCTTCAGAATTAGCTCATCGAAGCCGATGGAATCCTCTGACTAACGGTATTCCATCTTCATGCCTCCACTGCGTTGGGGTATTTAAAACGTTGCGTCGTATGAAGAAGCGACTTGGAGATGGAAGTACCTTGAGCAGTAGCATAACGAGGAAAAAAATTAAATTTGTTTTTTTGGGTGCTTCCATGCTTCGAGCATTTAAAAATTCCAACCCCACTTTGTTTTTTGAGTTGTGATCACACCGTTTTATTTATGTCTAAATCAACAAATACAGATGATGTCCAAAACCCGTTTCTTGTTCACGAAGAAAAATGAAATCATGGCTCACTGAAACCGATTTATGGGCGTGGAGAGAAACCAACTCCGCTGACTCGTGTCGCCTTCGCCTTATTACTCATTCCTGATTTACCTTCCGTGCAGAACTCATTGGATAAATTCGAACATGCGTGAACAGTGGAAAACCGCGTGAATGAATTCGTTTCCTTGAAGCCTTCCTCTTTAAATGCACTTGCATATAAATTCTTGTGATGTGCGGAAATATATTATGTGCCAACACAATACCACATGAACCTTATATAATGCCAAACACGGACATTACGTAACATGAAAAAATAACATGGAATACCATCAAAACACTGCGCCAAATTGAGACCCTTGAAATGCCGAGTAGTGATCAATTTCTTCCTCGTCCATAGTTTCCGGATTGAGTCTGGGTGTAGTCACATCCGTCATTTCGGGAATGACTTACGCCGGTACCTGAATTTCGCAAAAAAAATCCGGAGCTCTGGGTAGTTAAGGTGCAGAGGTTATCCGCCCAGCGTCCGTTGCAGCAGGTGGTGTCCGGGGCCTTGTAGACGGCGATCATCAGACATCCTCCACCTTGATTGAGTTCGGTCGGGTGGAACAACCCTTGACTTATCCCGGTGTAATTCAGGAGTGTGCTTGCAGAAATTCATGACATTTTGAACTCGGGGTATCTGACGGATGGTGCCATGCATTTGAACAGTGATTGTGCATAGATTGTTCTAACTTCCGACTGGTTTCTCTAGAGTGAATTCAATCAGTAGTCATCTATATTGACGAGTACGGTCATCCTCCCGGACCTGAATGATTGATTCATTTCGGTCATATCTGTTTGAAATCCGTTATTGATTCAGTGGGAATTCACACAGGAATATTTCACACGCCCCAATTACAAGGTTATGCGGATTACTTATATACGAAATACTGAGAGGTGATTTTATTCCTAATTCCTAATAGTCTTTACTATCTTTCCGTAGAATGTATTGTCAGTCAATCCCCATGTCAGGGTGAGCATCGCCAAGTCCATCATCTTTACTGGTATTTTGCAAATATTTGAGGGCAGGAGTTCAGATCTAATCATCGAATGACAAAGAATTCTTGAGGAAAGCATATGGTTGAAACTTCATCTCTGCAGGATGCTTAGACTATTTAGGACGTTTTAATTCCAATCGAGGACAGGTGAATAGTCTCATTTTCCTCATTTTTCAGCGAGAAACAGCGCAGCAATAATACTTATTCGGGAAAAAATATATATTGAACCATGTAAGGCACTTTAACGTGAGGGGTCATAATCCAGTTGCAACCCTTGTGTATGCCTGGTAGGAAAGCGTATGCAAACAAATTTTTCTACTCGCTGTTGTTGAAAAGGTAATTATTGCGGCAAGAAGGAAAAAGTCCCTTTTAACTGCAGAGAAATTCAGTATTGGTCTAATCCTTTACTAAGATGAAACTAACCATCGAGAAATCTCCTGTGATATAGGTCCGTCGTGCTCTGCCCACCGATATACAGGGTGACACAAAAGTTCTGTACACTCGGTTATCTCAACTTTTTATAACCATTTTTAAAGAACTCACAAATGGGGACAACGCTATTAGAAACTACAACCATTTCAACAGATAATGCCCGCAAATTCATTCAAAATGGCCACCTTTTGCTGTAACACAATCGCGAA